CGTGAAAACACTCGTGGATATTGCATCGCAAACGCCGCGCGCCACGTGGGGCGCGTCCTAGCGAGAGAGAGCTCATCTATTTCAACGATAAATCGTTAATTAAGATCGATTTATTAATGCCATTGAGCGAACGTAATTAAACTTTAATAGGGGAATATCTCTGCATTGTTATTGTTTAAACGGGTCGTACCGCATAACCCGTCCGGTGTATCTTCGCGTAAGCGTCCCGCGATTAACTGCGTTGGCGCAAACATTCCCGATTTAATCTTCCCTCCGTTGTGTCGCGCGTTGAATCGCAACGGATCCCATTCTTCGTCCACCGCGCAACGATATTTTGCGTATCGATTTTACGGGGAAAGGGAAGGTGGACGAGGCGGATGACGCGAGCTCGATATCTAGAGAACAATTCGATTTCGCGTTCAAAGTTCGCGCACAGCTCGGCGGCAATTCTGTAACCAATTTGCGGGATGGAGAACACGCGCACGCCCGTGCTCGCAATAATCCGGCGAGTTACTTTAATTCGGGGGAGCCTCGGCGTCGCGGCAGGGGAGATCCCCGTTCGATATGGTATCCAATTCTGCGCGGGCGTCTCGCGCACGGTATTTCGATAATTCGCCGATAATTCGCTGATATTAAACGCCGCCCGTCTCCTCTCTCCGGCTGCCGCTACACTTGGAGGATAATTGCGCGTCGCAAGGATGTCCGATTTTTAGCATGTCGATCACGCAGGGAGGAGATGAGACGCCAATTGTTTCGTTTATAGGAGCGAATGGCTGAATTCTGTAAAGGACCGTCTACGCTGGAAGTAAGCAGTAAGAAGTAAGAAAACCGCGGCCTTTACTTATCAGTGTAAAAGCTAAAGTATAGACGTAATTTTGTTAAATATTTATAGCACAGGTTGAACTGTGCTCTAATGCGCCGAGAGTAAGCGTCAGAGCTGAAGTAGAAGTAAGAAATGGAAATGATTCATTTCTTTATTACTACTCTGACTTCTTACGCCAGGCTTACTTCATCTATTGTAGACGATCCTTAAACCGTCTACATTGGAAGTAAGCAGTAAGAAGTGAGAAAATCGCAACCTTTACTTATCAGTGTAAAAGCTAAAGTACAGGCATAAAGTTTTAAAATATTTATAGCACTGGTTGAACTGCGCTCTAATTCGCCGAGAGTAAGCGTCAGAGCTGAAGTAGAAGTAAGAAATGGAAATGATTAATTTCTTTAGTCCTACTTTGACTCCTTTTACGCCAGGCCTACTTCATCTATTGTAGACGATCCTTTGCTCGTGTTACGCAGTGCCGTTCTATTGTCGTTGCGCAGCTTTTTTGTCGTAAACGTATAGTGATGGGCAGAATGGTTGCAACACCTAAAATATTTTACTCGATGGCCATTCCGAAACTATTTGGAGCGTTTCCGATGTATTTCTCTAAAACGTTCCTCGGAGAAAGGTTTTGGAATCTGAGTCTAAATGCGCGCCCCTAAACTCATTAAAAAAAGTGTTGCAACCATGCTGTCCATTACTGTACCTGCGCAACGACAATATAACGAGTTACAGATTTCAGCTACTGACGTTAAAATGACGACAGATGACATTTTCGTCAAAATGACGACAGGTTGCTACCCGGGGAGAAACTTGAGAAATTCAAATTTCGAAATTTGCGACGCTCCTACGCGATCATTTAAATTCAGACGTGTCTCTTATCGGCCGCGTTTCACCTGCCGCGCGATATTGCGGCGAGCAAAAATCCAATCGGTGATTCCCGCGAATCTAATATCGCGCCTGAATTACCGGGTTAATAACGGAATGGCTTTATACGATTCGATACGCTGAAACGCGATCGCGTTGGGGGAGCAGGCCGCGAAATTCGAAATGTCGGGCAACGTTAAATCGTCATTATGCGCGTTCGAGATAAAATCAAGATCATCACTATGCGTTCCCACGCGCGCGAGAGGCCGCGGTGTATCCAGGCTTCTGCCGCGGTCCGCGCGTGATTTGCATCGCGATAGCCCACGTCATTTTAACCCCTTTCGTGACCACTGGGACTTGTAACCTTTTGCCACTCTGCTTCCCCGGAATGCGTCCCATTCGAAACGAGGGAGAAATAAATAAACCAAGAATCGGCGAAAGAGAGAGAAATGTCGCTTGCGTGAGCAAACTCACGTTTTAAGTTTTAAACCAAGAATATCCGGTCGTGAAAGGGTTAAGGTGGCGCCTGCACGAAGGCGCGGTTAGTATGGGTGTTTTGGTGAGGCCCTTTTGATTTTTGTAAATTCATGACTTTAAAAAAAAATCACTCAATGCATTATCGATCAAATGCATTGATATGCTGGGTTATATATGCACATTTAAAAACATTTAAAAATATGTGATGCTGTCTAATTATTGTATTTTTTTACTTTACTAATAAGTATTTGCTTGCAGAGGTCGGTGACCTCATATATTTAATAGCGCATTTTAATCCTTGTGACATTTATTATGTTTCTCTCGTTTTTCTTTTTTGTTAAGATCTACCTTTTCTATAAAATAATATTAACTCACAAAATGCTTCTGCGAGCGATCGGCTCGCAACCTCTCTTCCAGTGAACCACACGTAATAGTTACATAATATTAATATTATAATTTCCTACTTAACAATGCAAATGTAATATAACATGGGTGTAATATTACATTTATCTTGTTGCGTAGGAAATTATAATATTCATGTTATGTAACTGTTACTTGGTGTTCACTGCACTGAAAAAAATTTCTGGTTGAATATGGACGAACCAGATAATTCCTGTAGGATTTACCAGAATTCCTGTAGGATTTACCAGAATTTCTGTAGGATTACAGGAATTCTGGTAAATCCTACAGGAATTCTGGTAAATCCTACAGGAATTATCTGGTTCGTCCATATTCAACCAGAAATTTTTTTCAGTGTGGGATTACAATTTTAACATTTTTGAAGGAATGAAGGACTACGAGCCGCGACAGGGTGTTAGTGTCTAAATATTTTATTCTAAATTTATTGCGGAAAAATGGGGGTGACCTGGCCGAGGTGATATTTTTTCGCGATAAATTTGGAATAAAATATTTAAACACTAACACCCTGTCACGGCTCGTAGTCCCTTATTCCCTCAAAGTGTTTATCACATTTGAGCCATAGCAAGTTTATGAATTTAACACTTTTCCTTTCTTTTATTTCACCGGGTCTGAAATCTCGCGCACTGATAGCTAAAACTTACAATCACAACGTACTTAAATTCCATTGTTTTCTACTTTTGGTCGGTTTATGCAGGAGCCACCTTAAAATTCCCATGGTCGCGCGATTCGCGACGGAACTGGGTCTGTGGCCGTTAGGTAGAGTATTTGTAATTCCGTTCTCAAGACCTTCTTAAATATAATCTCAAGATATTATAAACCGATCGCAGAGCGTTAGCAACTTTACGGGTTGAGATTGAGATTGAGATTAGATTGAAATTTGATCAATCAGAGCAAAATTTACAGAGCTCGAAATTAGCGAATCCGCGACCCGATTGGTCAAATTTCCGTCTCAATCTCGATCGTAATCCGCGGTCCGACACGGGCTTAAGGCTGATGGCAGAAGGACAATCCGTAAATGCTTAAAGGCCTTCACACATAAAATTCCGTAAGGACGTAAAACGTAAGCGTAAGAAAATCAACAGATTGGATTTGCTACTGCTTGCGTTATTGCCTTACGTTCTCGACCGTGATTGGTCAATTTTCTTATGCTTACGTTTTACGTCCTTACGGAATTTTATGTGTGAATGGCCTTAAACGCTTAAGACTGTTTCAGTCGTAGACGCAGGGCAAGGCAGAGAGAAACGTAAGTCGTGAAAGGCTATTGTATACGACTTACGTTTCTCTCTGCCTTGCTCTACGTCTACGACTAAGCCAGTC